GAAGGAAGGAAGGAAGGAAGGAAGGAAGGGAGGGAGGGAGGGAGGAAGGGAGGGTTTATTCTCCAATTTTGTTCATTGAGAGTGCCTGGGGCAGTGACAGTACAATAGTGATGAGCACACCAAGCACCCAGATCTTGGTTTCTAAATACCATTCTCCACTAAAAGGAACTAATGCTCTTTGGAGAAATGGCTGATTTCAGGTTTAGAAAACTATAAGGTGAGACGAACATCTCGTGGTGCCAGAAAATGAGGACATGCCCAAAGAATAATAGGAATATGTTAAAAGGACACTGAAGTTAGCTTGAAAGGAATCCCATGAGCTCTATTTGAACAAATTAAGGATAAAAATAATAACAGAAATGGATTATAACCCTCTGAGTATAATAGGGATCCATGAGACCATACTGACTTAAATAAATAAATGAATAGATTTAAAGTTTGATGAGGAGTAAGCATAGTACCAAAGTATCTCTCCACAAAATATTTATTAACTACAAAGGAGAAAGTAACTACTGTGCAGAAGCCTGGCAGACACTTTCTCAAAAAAGTGATCAAAATTAGTATCACATGAAAAAAGTTAACATTTGTCCCTATAATGGGACAAACTGACACCAAGTCCTACTTGACTGAATACAGTGAGAAGAATATAAGCATCATTTCTGAGATATTCCTACCAAAGATGCAAAACCTGAATCTAATCATGTGAAAGCATCAGACAAACCTAAATTGAGAGACATTCTATAACACTGGGGCTAATGGAGCACTATGTTGGCAGTTTATTTTCAAATGGTTCAGAATAAAAAAGATATTTATACTGTACTTGGGAACTTTTCTTTATGAGATTGTTTCAAAATTTAGAAATTAATAACAAAAAGAGTCACCTTGTGTCACTGTAGATTTGATGGAAGCCCAGTGTCAAGATGGGATTAAGATCTGCACGGACCAACTTAAATGCCAACGATCATATGTTAGGGTAACACTTAAATTTTCTCTGGTGAAGTAACAGTTTTTCCCCTCAATCCATTGTGGACCAATACTTTTTAAAATACAGAAATCCCACACTTGGATTTGAGGACAATATCAAATTGCTACAAAAGTTGACGCTCCGTGTCGGTACTTACCTCGGCATGGTCAGTCTTTGAGCAGCACCTGTCTATGGTAGGATGTGTGGGTCTCTGGCTGCCATCAGATCCAAATGGGAAATAAAAACCACTCGTCACACTGTTATCCATAATGGTAGCAATAGTAATAGCGCTATAATTAACATCAGTCATCTATACAAAGTATTCAAGAAATGGACTGCCCAGGCAACGAGAAAGAATGAAAGACCTGCCTTCTGATGCTGTAACTCAACTTCTCTAAATGCATCATGAGGACACAAATCGATGTGACCACCCCTGGTTCCAAAGTAATTGCTTTGTGGTGACTGACAACAAGCCCATTCCCATAGAAAAGGGTCAAAAGCACCTTCTGTGTGTCCATCTGCAACACCAAGGCATGACTGTCACTGTTGGGAAGGGACCCAGCATTCAGAAGGGGTTAGTAGAGCACATCAGATGGGTTTGATTGACTCCAGCACAGTCCACCCATAGGCCCACTTTGACTGGGCCTGTGCCACACACAGCCCCTCCCTCAGCCAAGAGGAAGCCCCTTCAAATAAGAGGACGATTCTCCGTACTAACCAAGACCAGAGCAGAAGATGAGCAAGGAGCTAGTGCATCCTCTGAGAAATGGCAAACACCATCCAGACTCGGGGTTCTTCCAGAGGACACTCTGACACTCCCGTGGCATGTCCCCAAAACACTGAAATCCTATGCAATATCCCCCCCACCCAGGACACTTATTCCAGCCACACACAGAGGAGGCGCCACATAGAAACCTGTAAGCTGAAATCAACCGATAGCGTCTGTCTCTGGTCTGTGGCACTTTACTTACCTGGAACAGTTTTGTAGCATAATGTTCGGGAGGGCAGTGATGAGGCCTTCTTTGCCCTGGAACTCTGGGTACTTTGCAAGACTTGTCTCTGCCTCTTCAGCTCCTCTTCCCTTTCCTGGGCTGCTCGGATCTCTTCTTCGATCATGGACAAAGTCCGCTGCTTTCTTGACCTCAGCTTGAAGGGCCCAACCATCACATCAGATTCTTGAGTGGCCAGGAGTGAGGCGGTGCTTCTCAGCTCAGCTGCCTCTGAGTACTTGCTAAAATAGCTCCCTTCCGGTCTGGTCTCCTCCATGTTTATTGGGCCACTGGGCTGCACTGCTGCCAGTGGCGGGGAGGGCCCCCGTTCCCTGAGCGCCTTGTCTTCAGCAGGCAGAATCTTTGGTAATACATCCCTTTTCTCATGAACAGGAGAGGACACCTGAGGTGGCTCAAACATGCTCTGAGGCTTCTCTGAGCTGGGAGCCCCGGTTCCAGCTTCCTCTGGTGTTGCTTTAGGTCCCTGCTGTTCTGGTCCGTGCTTGTTGGTTTCAGACACAGCTCTATCCACTTGCTCGGCTATGGCTTGTTGAATGGCATTCTGCACCAGGAGGCCAGCCTGATATTCCAAGTGATCATCCACCGACGGAGAGTCTCCCAGTGTGGACGAAGGGGAATAGAAACCATGATCACTAAATGACTTGGAGACCCCTTCTCCTCGGCCTTCTGAGGGGTTGTCAGTTTGGGGAGTCTGGGGCAGAGAAAAATCAGCCAGTGAATTTTCCTGGAGAGCATTGGTTGTCTCATTGGAGGCCCCGCTGTCACTGATGTTGTCCATGCTAAAATCATTGGACAGGGTCTCCAGGACAGTGGTATCCTGAGACCTCACTGACAATTCATCCAAACCAGAGTCAAGCTCCTCTTGGGTCAAGGAGACACTGACTGACTTGGAAAACTGATCCAAAATCCCAGGGTCGTCATCCTTGACCACAGTGAGGATGGCCCGCGCGCTCGTAAACTCTCCGTCCTCTGTCCACAGTTTGGACAAGGGCCCGCGTTTGGAGGGCTCGCTGTAGGGTCCTTCCTTCCCCTGAGGAGCCGCACTGCCCTGGCCTCCTCCTGGAGACTGGCTTTCCAGGGAGCAGTGGGCTTTCTGCCCTTTGGCTGCTGGTGCGCCACTGTCTTCCGGAGGACCCCCGATGGAAGCTGGTCTCGAGATGATCAGTGGCTTGTCTGAGTTGATTGAACCCAGGGGCCTATAGAAGGGCTTGATAGAGAAGAGCCTGGGTGTACTTTGGCCCTTGGCCACTGCTTGCCTGGAATTCTCCATCTGCTGGAACTGTTTGCGGGCAGCAGAGAAATCTATCTGGTCTGTGACGACGTCCACCTTTGCATTTTCGGTCATGCTGGGAGGTTCCCGAGTCGAGGAGGCAGGGGCTGTGCAGAGCTGGGGCGGGGGCTGCTGCTGCATCAGCAACTGCTCCTGCTGTGCCCGTCTCTCCTTGCGTTCCTTGTACTTTTTGTGTGACTCCAGATGTTCCTCATCCAGCTGCTCCTCGATGGTTTTTTCCTGGGGAGGATTCCACCATTTTGCCGCAATGCCAGGGTTCTTTTTCATAGCCTGGCTCCGAATGAGTTCCCTCCTCTCCTTTTCCAGCTCCAGTATCTCTTCGGAAGGCCTCACTTTCCGGACACAGTATTGTTCTCTCTCATTCGCGTCATCCTCAAAGAGCTTGGAGGGCTTCTTGTCCTCGTGGAAGGCACGCAGCTCAAACTTGGCTTCCTTCTTTAGTGTGGTGAGTGTGAACTCCCCATCTCGGGAACACCATGAGCTGGTGGAGGAACTGGGGCTCACGGGTGCCTGCAGGTTGTCCCCCAGCAGGTCTCTAGGCTGGTCAGGGGAGTGGCCGTTCACTCTTTCACCCTCTGCCATGGTGTCAGAGTTGCTTTTAGTGAGCTCAATGTGGGGAGGCACCTGCCTGCCGGCTGCTCTCTCAGTGGGTTCCAGCTGGACGGTGGTGTGGGCAGGTGGGCTTAGGTTGCCCACCAGGATGGCTGCTCCAGGCTCCGGGGAAGATGTGCCGTTGTAAGTTCCGTCCACAGCAGAATCACAGCAATTGGCCTCCAGCACCTCGTCTAGATATCGGATCTCTCTGGCCACGTCATTATCCAGAGTTTCATGGTGGTCAGCGAGGAGGCCGTTGTGGGGGGGTGAATAGAAAGGGGAGGCGTGGTCCATGGAATGTGGAGCAGAGGCGATTCCAGGAACACTTTTACATTCTGTAACCGAGACCTCAATTTCCATGTTTTTGTGATCTGGGGGAAGGGAGCTGATCGCAGGATCCAGGGGGTTGGCACTACAATTGTCTCTCTCGTTTTTTAGCCGGATATCATCCTCGGAAAGCTGGGGAGGCTTCTGGAAGAAAGAAGAAACAAAAGTCAGGGTTAGATACCACACCTGCTATGAATGCGAACACTGAGAAATTAACTGGTAACTAATTGGAAGGAAAATTGAAACAATAATGACAAGTCCCTTTGAAGTGATTTCCCGTCTAATGACCCTTCATGTACTCGTTTTGTTGGGTAATTGGTACCAACACCACTCCATTTTACAGATTCCATTTTGTTTACTGCATGTCCAGAAAACTTTCAATCAATGCTAGTCCCATTTCTTAACTTAAAAGTACATTGAGGGCCGGCCAAGTGGCTCAGTTGGTTAAGAGCTCGCTCAAGAGTTTGAGCTCTGAGCAACAGTGGTTCGATTCCCGGCCCGAGCTGAGCTGCCAACAGGTGGCAGGATGGCTCAGCTCAAAAAAAAAAAAAAAAGTACATTGAGACACAGGTCACCTGAAGACATTACTCAAATATTTCTAAAGTAGAAGAGGTACAAGCAATTGTACCAGAGCCTTCCAAAATATTCACAGTAAACTATTGCAGAAATGCAATAGGACTATTTGTAGGTCCCCAACTATATATAAAAAAAAGGTCCTTTTGCATGAACAGATCTTCTTGAAAACATATGACCCTCTGCCAAATGTAATGCAATTATTCTGGAGACAAGACGCTTTGAGGAAAAATTTTCCAAAATAAAATACTAGAATACAGTAGATTCCTTCAAAGACTCCTTAAAGGCTACAGTGCCCCGTTGCCGTGGCTGTCTGAGCTCGTGCATTATAAACACCATAATCAAAGCCACTGACTGTACAGTTCTGTTCTCCGGAACTACATCAAAACAATGCTCCTTAGTTAAGGAGCGAGTGTTGCTTTGAAAAGCTAGTGGCCGGCAGCACCTCCCTTCCAGTTCCTGAAATGCTTTAGATCTGATAGCTTCAATTTTGTGGTTAAATAAGAAAACTACATCTTCTTAATGCTTTTAAATGCATCATTTTTTTCATCACTTATCAACCCCATATAGTTTTGGTATGTGTCATGAGTAAGATTACTAATTTGCAAATTCTAGAATAACTTTTTTTTTTTCATACCAAAGGACTCTAGTTTGTCTCAGATAATTCAGCAGTGAATTATGAGCTTAGAGTTCCTCTCAAGAGTTCCTCTCAAGGGTTGGTCAGTTTTTGTTTCCCCATCTTAAGTCTATAGTGTGTCTGGTATTATTGACATAGGACCACACAAAATGACAATATGGTATAGATTTCATTTATTTAAACTTTAAACAATTTTAAAGGCTTAGAATATAATATTTAAAACACCACTTTATGATGATTCTCAAAGGATTAATTTGAAAATCCTTCCAAGGAATGCGGATAATTATGGATTTGTTCACAAGACCTCCAAAAACATGGGCATTTACCCTATGTGCTGTGCACTGCTGTCAGAATGTTGAAAAAGCCCTCAAGGTTATCCAGGAACTGGAAGGTTATCCACGAACTGGGGGTTTCCTTCACTCCTCATTTTCCACATTCCCCTTTAGACTTAAAATCAATCAAGTAATACAAAATATTCCTTCTTTTGTGACAGGCAACAATAACAAGCATACATTCTTTGTTAATACTTTCTGTTCTTGGATGATTGTCCAGTCTAGCTCAAAGCTGGGTACTTAATACCATTAAAATCTTTACTTTTATTTTTCACCATCATTAACGAGTGGTCTTTTATCTTTATAATGAACCAAAGAGGAATGTCCAAGAGTTTTTCCTGTCCTTTTAAAAACATCAACTAAACTTCTTTTGGGGGCCGGCCAAGTGGCTCAGTTGGTTAAGAGCTCGCTCAAGAGTCTGAGCTCTGAGCAACGGCGGTTTGATTCCCGGCCCGAGCTGAGCTGCTGCTGAGCTGCCAACAGGTGGCAGGATGGCTCAGCTAAAAAATAATAATAATAATAATAATAATAATAATAATAATAATAATAATAAATAAAAAAATAAACTTCTTTTGGTAAGGCAATTGTTAGTGACTTCCACATCATTGAGAATTACAGAAAATTTGAATGCCTGAAATACTGGCAGCCATTCAATTTCAAGTAAACTAGGTCAAAATTAGCCCACCCCATGGAAAGCTATTACTGGAATAAACAGACCAACAAAAAGAAATGCATGGTACTGCTAAGGAAAGTCAGATTATCCTTGACCATCCCACCCCTGGCTTCATTTCGTCAATGATTTATTAATAATATTCTTCATGGGAAAAAGTCGAGCTTTCCTTCTATCCCTTTTGGAAGAAAAACAGTAGGAAAATAGTAGGAAGCTGCTGGGACTTAAACATGGCTAAAAATCACTGTTCTACAGAAACACAAAACACTAGAATAAACATGAAAGGAAAGATGGGTAATGTAACATTAAAGGAAGCTAAAAGGCAAATAATTAATTCTATCGTTCGTTTCGTCATTAATCCAGTCATTAAGCACGCAGGAGACTTGTTCTGTAGGGCCATAATGAAACCAGCAGAAACAATGAGCTCCGGGAGACAACACCTTTTTCTTAACAAAAACTGAATTTCCCACACTTCTTAGGAAGCCACAGGTCTATTTTGCAGTTTACTTAGTCTGGTGAGGCGAAGTAAACAGCTTGCCTCTGTTTATCTCCTGTAGATAAGGGTGACTGAGTCTCCCTCCACAGCACTTCCCAAGAACACTTTCTGGCTCCTCACATCAGCACGCCTCTTTGTCCTGGATGCTTCACAGTTCAGTGGTTGACGATATGCCCTGCAAGTTTTTTGTGGTTGTTTTTTTTTTAAACTTACAAATTATACCAGTTCTTTCCAAGGCACACTTTCTGAACTAGCAAAAACTGTTCCAATTCAAAAGTTGAAGTCTGATAATAGCATCCGACAGAATATTTTTGCAGTGTCAAGAAAACTACCTTTAGCTTTCAGTCAGAAACCATGAGTCTATTAGTTATGTCTTCTGTGATGTGTCAAACTAAGATTTTTAAAATGCTCATTAGTGGTTAAAAGCCAAAGCTTGTGGTCCCAGTGCAATATGAGACGGTTCTTTTCCAACACATTAAAAAAAAACGAACAACACTTGGAAAAATACTTAGACACTAGAGAGTGTAAACAGGAGGCTTTCCTTTCTGTTAGTCACACGGGGCTCCTGTTGTGTTCTTTCCATAAATTCAGAAAATTCTTCCTGACAATTCCATCTACTTTAGGCAGCCATAGCTCTAAACCCCGATTAGGGTATTAGTAAGAGATAAACAACTCTGCATTACTGATCCACAGTCACGCATCAGAGGTCCTGAGCTTTTGTAAGGTTAGGGAACAATTTTAACAAAAGAGCCAATTCCTGAGTTCTAGTCTCAGCAGGAAGAATTTACCTTCACACAAGATAGCCTGACCTGATCAAAGCCACCAGCAACTACACCGGGTAAATGGAAATGGGCTGGAAATCCCAGTCTGAATCTGGAGGGCATCTGGACTTGACATCATTAAATGAGGTCTTCTTTAAATTAAACTAACGAATGCTGATTGCTCCCTTTGAAGATGAGAAAACCAGAATTTTCTCCATGTAGTCAGATAACAAGAATCTGTTTCCAGATTCAGATAAAATACATATTCAATAAGTGGACTGCAAAGGCTTTGCTGAAATAAACTATGCCCCAATGCAAAAAACAGAAGATATGAAAGAACCATCAAACTGGACTTTCAAAGGTCAGAGAAAAACTAGGGTGTCAACAGGCCCGTGGGAAATCTTTGCATTGCCCTTGCTCACTCTCCAGGTGGAGCCCTAGCAGCACGACACAGGATACCTGCCAGCCTACTGGCGTCCCACAATAGCTGACAGCTGGTCAGGATGTCTACCATTTACTTTAAAATCCTTGGGCAGAGACAATGTAATAATACAGCTGTGTGTGTCTGAAATTAGTTTAAATTACATTCCAGGGGCAGAGAGCCATCCTCAATGGGAATATAGGCTCCAAGAATGCTCAACCAGGATCTAGTCAGAGATCCCACCCACTCCCCCTCTGTAGGCGGCTGGCTTCCTCCCTCCAGTAGTTAAGCTCTCAGTAACTTCCAAGAGCCCGAGGCGTTGCCGATTGGCATCATTAAGGTGAGAAATGGGTTTTCATCAGTGAAATTGTCCATTAGCATAATGAAATGTTAAGAAATCGGTAACATTGGTAGTGTTCAAATGTGTGCATTAGAGAAGTTCACCACCCTTTCTTGAGCAGGGTATAGAGTGTATAGAGTACAACACCTTTATGGGTATTGCCTGAAGTCTGAGAACTAAACAGCCCTGCGCCCAGCCTTTGGTTCAGGAGACGTTGGTTGTTTACCACATGCTACGTGGTAACAGAATCTGGCCTTTCTAAAATTGCCACATCTGTCTTCACGCAAGGTGGGGTTGGAGCATTCAGAATCTTCGAGAGCTGAGGCTTCTTTGAGGTCACAGGCAATGGGTTTATACCCATTTTTGGAAATGTCTGTTTCTTAAATGTCTGCATGAGCACGAGAATTTGATCCAAGACCTGCTTTTATTATTAACCTGGTGACCAGGTGTTGTCTAAAGCGGCCATTATTTACAAAAAAGTGTTGAATACTTACGCAACACAAAATGGTATGGGTTAATTTACCACATAGGTGCCCATGTCTGGGCAGCTCATGGTCGGTGGTCATGCCCCAGACCTATAACTTCTTCAGTGAAAAGTTTAAGCCAGCCTTGCCCATTGTTTCTTGTGCATCTAGGTTAACACACTTTTGAAATACCAGAAGTAATACCCTCTGAGGGGATGGTAAGTCTGCAAGAGCACATAATCTTGGTAACTATAATATACTGTAATCTAGTCCCCACCTTGCTTTCTCCAATCTTTCTTAGTTCTCTCCTTAATTTCAAATGCATAAAAGAAACTGCAAAACTGCTCTTCTCTGGAGCATTTGAAATCTTGCTCCCAGAATATGTCTTCAGCTTGGCTCAAATAAATGCTTATAAAAATTCTCTACAGGTATGGACGTTTCTTATGTCGA